TGTAAGATAGGCTATCACACCCTACGAAATTCCCCTAAGAACCTGTTGTCTTTCAGTTCAAGGGTTCAACAACAGGATCATCATCACCCAAGGATTATTATTTGCCAATGAAAAATGCATGTACGTAACTATGTAAGGGCAAGCAGATACCTGTAATGTATGAACCTCCAAAATCGGAACAGATATGGCTCTGGTACTCTGATGTTCTTCCAAGTCAACGCCTCCAATGGAAAAAAAAACAAAAAATCACATACTCCCTCCGTTTCGAAATATTTGACGCCGTTGACTTTTTAGCACATGTTTGACCGTTCGTCTTATTCAAAAAATTTAAGTAATTATTAATTCTTTTCCTATCATTTGATTCATTGTTAAATATATTTTTATGTAGGCATATAATTTTACATATTTCATAAAAGTATTTGAATAAGACGAACGGTCAAATATATGCTAAAAAGTCAACGGTTTCAAATATTTTGAAACGGAGGGAGTACTATCCACAGATCTGTTGCAATAGCACAGACGCGACGGCCAACGGCGATGCCAACCAGGTCCTCCCGGCGCAGGTTCGCGGCGAGGGGGTGGCCGCGGAAGACGGAGGATTCCGCCGGCGCCGACGAGGTCAGATCGTGGCCGAGCCGGAGCGAAATCTCGCGCGCCGTGTCACCGCCGCACGCGCGAATTGAGACGGAGAGGTGGGGGCAAGCTGGTGTAGAAAAGGCGCCGCAGCAGCGAGACAGAGACATGGAGTGGGCGGGACAGGCGAAGGCGCCATGGCCGCCGCTCCTATGATATCTCCTACTCCTCCCTTCCCTTTTTGGGGAAAATTTTTAGCATGTGGGGCCCACTTAAATATGGCCTACTCCCCCTTCCAACAATTCCATCAGAATCTTTAAAAAAAAAAAACAGAGTGCCCTTTTGGCCGTTGCATGAGTCACAGGCTCACAGCGGCTGCTTCCCCAGGGAGGACAAGGCGGCGGCATGCCGGCCGCACCACCGTCGCCGGAGCGGTAAATACCCCCGCCGGCGGCGGCGGGAAGTGCACCTTGAATTGGTGATCAGGAAGCGCATGCTCGCCGGCGTCAGTGAAAATTGGAGTACTCCAAAATTCCATATACTCTGTTCCCCTCATTAGCAGTTTTTTTTTTTTGAGAAATTTTTCATTGATTGTAGTACACAATAGTATGGACTTAAAATTTACATGAAATATTCATCAATCCAAGCATTGATCAACTAACACAAACAGCAGTAGCCAGTAGACAAAAACATCAAGTAAAAAGCATCATCACACTATCACGCGACTCCACTAAGTAAGATAGTAGTACAAGATACACTCGCTCCGATCCATGGTGTTGGTACGTGTAGTGGAATTACCAGAGCAGTGCCTCTCCGGTGAGGCCGATGGCGACGACGAGCGGCGCGATGGAGGCGATCATGATCTTCTTGCCGACGGCGGCACGGTGGCCGCGTGGGTCGTCGGCGACCCAGATGGCCGCGCCAACCTGGCCCATTCCGGCGAGGAAGGACCCCACAAGAGCGAGGTCGTAGCAGGCGCTTTCAGCGAAGCCCTGCGGTGGGTCGAACGCGGCGACCAGGTTGATGATCAGAGAGGCCGTGGCGACGCCGAACAGCCCCAGCGCCGCCGCGATCTTGGAAGCACCGCCGTCGGCCTCCGCTTCCCGGCGAGCAATATTGTCAACCATCATCTCCGATGTGTGGGTCTTCCTATTATTCAGAATCAAAGCTAGGGAATTGAGAAGGTTGGAGTACTAGCAGTAGCAGAGATGCTAGAAAGATCAAGCTACAGAAACGTCGGGATCACGCGCGGCTCGGGCTGCTTTTATGGATGCGAAGGGGAAGACCTCCCGTAATTTTGACAATTTGACCCTTTCAGAAAACTTATTTCAAAATTGAACTGTACCAAAAACTAATTTGAAAAATAGGCCGTTTTCTCAGCGCCATTGTGGTTGGCGCTGAGCTATAACGTCTTGGCGCAACTATCATTGACGCTGAGATGCCATCCGAGGTGTCACGGATTTTACACGTTATCCGAGGTCACCTCTCTCCAGTCTACAAATATTATCAAGCTACAAGCTACCACAACTGAAAAAAAAAACGAGATAGCTTGGTGGAGAGCTCTTCATGCTAACATCTTCGTGGTACGCCTGACCTCTAGTTAAGAGAGGCGGGCTTTCACCACTAGGCCAAATCTTCCATGTATCACGGTAGTACATGCATAGTATTTATACATAGCAAGCCACGGAGGTTAGCGCCAAAGAATTTGGCGCTGACATCGTATGATGTGTGACACCAGTGACATGTCGGACGGTATCTCAGCGCCAAAGTAAGTGGCGCTATGATGTTGTAGCTCAGCGAATGGCACGAAAAAAGGTCTATTTTTGAAAATAGGTTTTGACATGGATCAATATCAAAATAAGTTTTTTCAAAGGGTCAAATTATCAAAATTACGGACCTGGGGAGTTGGGGCCTCTGGGGCGGACGGACTGATGGGCTGGGCGGCGCCGGTTATCGGGAGGAGAGTCTGAAGGACGGTTTTGCCCCTGCGGGACTGGACTCGGCCGAGCCGCCGCGAACCGGGGGTGACACGTTTTCTGGGGAGGTCTAAGCAGTACAAAGGGCAAATCTGGTAATCTATCGGACTCAACGTAAATTCGAGGGACAGCAAATTGACTTATTCCAACCGTAGTAGGCGGATTGACTATTGGGCGACGTGCGCTACTTGTCCATCGCGCGGACAGGTCAGGGTGGGGAGACAAAAGGAAACGTGGCGATGCGTGACAGGTGTGTTGCGTCGTTACGGCGTCGTCTTTACATTCCTAATTTTCCTTTTTTCTTTTCTACGTGATTCTTTTCAATTTACCGTGGTCCTTTTTTTTACGTTAATTCTCCTAACGGTACATATCATTTTTTCCCCTTCTTTTTGTTAAATTACTTTTTTCTCTTTATAGTCATTTTTATAGCTTTTTTTAGTACAAACTTTTTTACATGTATTACTTTTTTACATGTACGCTTTCTATATATATGGAATTTATGTGTATAAACTTTCCATATATAGATTTTATGTATATAAACTTTCTATGCATAGAGCCTTTAAGTATATACACTTTATATTATGGACTTTTTATTTATAAACTTTATAGTATGAATTATAATTTGCAATTAGAAGTTTAATTATTAGTGTATAAATTTCAGTATAAATAAAAAAAATTTAAGCATCACTGGATTTTTTTTTCAAGAAATAAAATCCAATCTGAACAACTTGATAATAGGAAAAAGTGATTGGTTGGTCTTCTAACTGAAATAACAAAATACTATATAGTACGAGCTTAAACACGTCGTTAGAACTGATAACGATAAAACCTATTGAACTGTTTTGCGAGATGCGAACGTTCGAGAACTAGACCCACCTTAGTCGGACCACGTAATTTGTCCGAGCTTAGTAGTTGGATCATGTCCGGGCTACGGAGATAAGCAAGTCTACTTTTCCTCTCTCATCTCTTACTCCCGATTGAATCATCTTCCTCAACCACAAAACTAGATATAGCATCTCCCTCATCTTTAAAAACCAGTGCAAATCGACTACTTCGGTGGTTTGGAAAACGGGTTTTATCAACATGATAGGTGGGACCCACCTATCAGTGAAACATTTGATCCTCCTTCTCTATCCTTTCTTTCCTTTTTTTTTTCCCAATCTTGTTCTCCCAACGAGGAAGACGGCCGGTCGTGTAACAGCCCTACCTCTACAACCGCGTAGCCTAGCCCATCCGATAGATGGGCCCACTTACATATACCACTCCATTTACACTAGTCACAGGTTGGTCCTAGGTTGCTGCAGTGGTGGTAGCCGGAGACGAAGCCGACGACAACAGCTAGTGATCGTCAAGCAAGGCAGTAGCACGGTCGATGGCCGGCGAGGAAGAGAGGAGGGAGATGAGGAAGCCATCAAGAGTATCCGCGGATTCCTCTGCGTCGATGTTGTCACTACCATCGCCTGCTACTGCTGATTCGATGTCGCCACTTCCTCTTCCTCGTCGTTGCCTACTACTGTTGCTTCGATGCCGCCACTTCCTCTCCCTTGCCGTCGTAGCAACCTCATCTCCATCACCGCCACTGCAATCACCTATTATTTCCACTTCAACGCCACCGCCTGCTGCTGTTGTTGCTTCCACGCCGTCGTCTCGCAGCCTCCTCTCCCTCACCACCACAGCAGCCACCTGCTGCTTCCGCTTCGACGCCGCCACCACAACCTCCTCTCTCTCTCGCTGCTGCAGTCGCTTCCTGCTGCTATTGCTACTTCGTCTCCACATCCTCCTTTCCCTCCTCCTTCGTCGTCGCCACCCCCGAATCCGGCTCACTACCACCGTAGCCCTCATGGCCTCTGTTGCTGCTGGAAGGTAAGAGAGAGAAGGGAGATTAAAGAAAGGAAAGAGAAGGGGAGAAAAGCATGATATGAGGTGGATGTCGCTGACATGTGGATCCCACCTGCCAACTCGGCGAGTCAACTGCAATCAAGCAGCCACGTCAACAAAAACCGATTGTCAAACCACTGAAGAAGGTAATTTGCACTGGTTTGTGAAGATGACGTAATACCCAGCCTTGTGGTTAAGGGAAACCATTCAATGATGGAGGTAAATAGACTTATTCCACGGGGATATGCACAACAATACTTGGTATTCATTCTAGCTGCCAAACTTTCAGATTCAGTCACAGGAACACAATGCACTAAATCACGAATATTTTGGTACTACCTCCGTCCCAAAATAATTGTAATTCTATGTTGTTTAGCATATATTAAGGTTTGAGAAAAAAGACTATGGTGCCCCTCATTAAATGGTGTTTATGTGAGAGTGGAAAGATGGTTGAGGGTATAATAGGAAGAAATTTGAATGAGAGATGATTGATGGGGCAATTAGTGCTCTAGAATTATAATTAATTTGGGACAAAGTTTGAATCATAGAAATACAATTATTTTGGGACGGAGGTAGTACTCATTGGCAGATTTGCAATCAGTGCAGTTATCCGCACAACAAAAGAAATTCTTAACTCAATTTAATCATAAATATCGATATAGAAAATAATATGGCTATTTGTGATGCACGGATACGTGATACTGGTACGGCGATACGGATACGTTGATATTACATGACATTCCAGAAAAATGGCATACACAACAGTCTCCACGTATACAAAAGACACCCTGAATATTATATGTCAGGTTGATTCCTCAATATGCCAGTGATCCACAATTCCTCCATATGTCAGTGATCCACAATTCCTCGATATGCCAGTGATCCACAATTACCAGATGATAGAAAACACCAACTTCGGAGTACTGTACAATTGCTCAAATGTGTATGAACATACCAAATTGTTCGATCAAATCCTGATAGGTTGTAGTGATACAAAATTCTTCTGAGCACCGGTTGTGTTCCAGGTTCAACAACAGAACCTCCACCATCTTATGCCAGCAGAAATGCATGTAAGAGCAACTGGGTAACAATGCCATGGCAGCCTGTGTGCATCAACAGATAGATCTCCTGGCAAAGTTATGTATCAGACACGGCCGCGAGACATTTTTTTTGCCACTCGTTAACTGGTTATACAGGCCTGTAAAATCTGAGCAGATGCATCTGGTCTTCTTAGTTCTTACAACTCAACGTCCCCCTACAGAAAAGCAGAACCACATACTATGCATTAATAAAGGACTGTTACTGATGGTAAAAATACATATATACAAATCTGTTGTTCATTGCATGAAAAAGAAAATGACACATGGATGATGATTCTTTCGGAATTATATTAAAATTTACCCACTTGTTCTGTTATATTTACACTTCAAAGGCACCTGCTATTCCAATTCATTTTGACCCAAAAAAAAAAGAGACGAGAACAAGCCAATGATTGGCCCATCGTTTGTATAAGTAAAGATTGATTTACAATCTGCAACTCCATCACTCAGAAGAACAGCATTTAACCACCTATTACATAGTACAAATTTTAAAATTAGAATATTTTTTATGAGACGCATTATGGTATTTCAAAGTTACCAAATGTCCTTAAGATTTCTCCTAATGCCTCCTCTACACTGGTTCTGCTACCTTTCTTCGTTTGCTCCTAAGTTTCTAGGAATGCCTCTAGGCAGGGGCGGAGCTAGTATATATTAGGGGGGTGCCCAGGAACCCGATCAAGAAATTTTTTTAGCTATACCTTACCTATTTTCACCATGTATGCACCCTCCTCAATACAAACTTAAGCACCCGTATCAGCTTAAACTTGATCTAAAGTAGAGTAAATTAAGCAAGTGGCACCACCCTCTGTTTCGCTCTAGCTCCACTCCTGCGGCTCTAGGCCCTAGTGCTCTGGCCTTGGCCCTTGGGTTGCCATGCCGCTATTCATCCTATTCATCAAAAGAGATAAGGTCATCATCAACAATTCATAAGAGTTGAACATTACAAGATGCTCTCAAGGGTTCGGCAATAAGTCAAAGCACGGAAACTAACTACTATCAACCAGAGCATATTCTCAAGTGAAGGATGGTGAAAAGTGAAAAGGTCATTAATAAAATATCTCAGGACCTACTGTGTGGATTGACATGTATACTCATACATCAAAATGAGTTGCCCTGAGGCCATTTCACATCAAAATAAACACATAGAGTTCATATTTCATAACCTACCAGGCAAAGAGATAGCCATATTCATGTATGAAATATGGCTGCACCATTGGGCATAGAATTTAGTTGACCTCAATGTCTTGAATACAAATGTAAATACAAAAGTCAGATAGACAGAGCGCATGCATATAGCATGAGTGTAGCTACATACAAACCTCCCTTATTATAAGAGTAGAAGAATATATGAGTTCCATCAAATTTTGCAATTACTTAAGTTTCAGCTATGTAACAATGGGAATCAGCACAACAGAGAAAAAGGTACTTTAATTTTGTTTGAATAAGGGTCGTTGAAAGAAGCAATGTCTTTCTAGCAAAACTCCCATTCAGCTCTAACTACATGAATTACTAATAGCTGTATATGATCGAATATAATCATGTATAACAATGCCAGAAATTTAATACCATTACAGTATAACAAATAAATACTCAGAACAGGATATAACAGCCATAAATAATAGCTTAGTGAACTAATTGGATTGTACTGTAAACACATGGTTGCTAAAATACATCTCTTTTTCTCTTCCCATAAGCAGGGGACAGCCCCTTCTTTCACTTCCACTAAAACAGAACAAACCATCTTGAACCACTCATAAGAATATCAGCATGACAAGATGCTCAACGCTTCAGCAGCTTAACTAAAACGACGCCTTGGAACTAAATATGCACCAATAGTAAAGATCAACTGGTGCGATGAACAAGCACATCATCCAAAGACCAATATCAGTCTTTAAACAGAATACTGAAGAGAAAATGGTATCTACGACAATATTTGGGGACCTAGTGTGTTGGATCACTTGATACAATTGATTATATGTCTCCTAGGGTCTATTTTTCATCACAGGAATGCGCTTTACATAACCTACCACGCAACTGCTGGGATTTTAGGGATTATGGGAATAGTAACTGAAGATGTTGATATTGACAGAGTCAGCGTAAGTCAATTAGGCAGGAACTCAAAGCACATCAACGATGCTGTCTTTCAAACCCCAAGTGCCCAACACCTACCACAAGCGATCCCGACCAGATCCTGGCCGAGGACGGGCGGCGCGGCGAGGGGTTGGCCGGAGAAGACGAATCCCGGCGATGGCGACCGGAAATCCGTGGACGAGCGGGATCTCGGCGCCGCATCACCGCCCCACAGGCTACTGCCTCAACCACAACCTCCGCAAGTCCGCAAGAAACGCGATAGCACAGTGGAGATAGGTTGGGGGGGATCAATCAGGCGTAGATGCGGAGGCGGAGACGCCGGCGAAGCAGCCGACCTCACCGGCACATGGCCGCGACCCGCGAGTCGCGAGATCTCCATGGCCGTAGCCGCCGCCCGCGGAAGAAAATTATACAAGACCTCGGTCCTTCGCTCATCCAGAAAGACTTGTCATCTTGAGTGACACGTCTCCACACGAATTTTAACGTAGTCATCTTCTACCTGAGCTCAAGTGCAGAGTGCCAAACTTTCCCTTTCTCTCTCCTCTCCACTTCCCACCTTCCTTCCTCCTTCTTAGCCAGGGAAGGTTCCACTTGCAGGAGGCGGCGAGCTCGCTGAACTTTTTCGTCGCATTGCTGCTACAGCATCATGTTGCATCCCGCGACGTGACAATGAGGAGGAGGAAGAGGCGACGAACCATGTTTCCGTGCTGGAGATTGGGCCTCCGGCCATAGAGAAGGGAGCCAGGGGAGGTAGGGACTGCCGGACTGGGAAGTGGAAAGGGAGAGGAGAGAGAGATGGGGGAATTATTTTGGTACTTTAGTCTGAGGTAGAAGACGACTGTTGTCTGCCTCAAGATTCGTGCGAACACGTGTCATTCACAAAATGAAGTCTTTCCAGATGAGCGAAGGACTGAGGTCCTGTGTAATTTTCTTCCGCCGCCCGCAACACAACAAGGTCAGGGGGCATGTGGGCCCCACTTGTATGGCCCACCCTTCCCCACTTGTATCACCCAAAAAAACCGAAAAAAAAGAGAGGAAAGGATGGCTTCTAGAAGGAGAAGCGCCAGAAGCTTCCAAATAGAACAATTCGGCGTCGGCGTCGACGGCGAGCGGCGCAGAGAGACGCCACGCCGGCGACGACGCCGCCTCCATGGCAACGAACGAGTCCCCTACCGCCACCGAAACAGTGGTACTACCAGCGGGCGGCAGCGGTGGCGCGATTGAATTGATGATGAATTAATTGGTGAGGAGAAACGGCGCCATGCTCGCCGGCGGCGGTGCCGATATGCATGGATCCATGGAGTATTCCAAATCCAATATTCGCAGAATGCAAGTAAGATGAAAATTAGGAGTACAATCACCATAACTTTATCATCTCATTAAAAAAAATGAAGCACCATATATACTTGAAATTGAAATCGAGAGATATGATGAACACTCCATAGAACACTGGTCGATTAAGCCGGTCATCAATCGAAGCACACGAGACAGAGTAAATAAGAACAGAACAGTGGACTCTCTAACTACTTGCAACAACAGAACATGCTACGACGACAAGACACAACCACGACGCAGCAAACGAGCAAACCAAATGGAAGAAGAATATGATATTCATTTTCAATCACACAAACACGATCGACCAGCAAGCTAGAGAGAGACGCCGGCAATTATTATTGTTTGCTCCGATCATGGATATGCGGACAGCGGTGCGGCCGGACCGGAGCCTGTTCGAGAACCATACTTACCAGAGCAGCGCCACCACCGATAAACCCATGGCGGCGAGGAGCGGCGGGATGGCGGTGTATAACAGCTTCTTGCCGGCGGCACGGCGGGCAGCCGGGTTGTCGGCCACCCAGACCGAAGCGCCGACCAGGGTCATCCCGCCAAGGAAGGTCCCGGAGAGCGCGAGGCGGTAGAAGGTGTCGGCGAGGAGGCCACCCGGCGGCGGCTGGAACACTGCGGCCAGAGTGGTGGCTACGGAGACGGTGGCTATGCCGACCGCACCCAACGCGGCGGCGCCACCGCCGGCCTCCGGTTCCCGGCGATCAGCACCCATCAGTGCTCCTGCTTCTGCCGCCATGAATGATTAGCTTATTGAGAATTCGATCCTAATCTTTGATGGTCTAAGAAATCGAGCTTGCTAGGAAGGAGAGAGAGATCTGAAGAGGAGGAGGGGGGTGTCGAAGGGTATATATAACGAAGGGAACGGTGGGTGCGGGCGGATTCTTTCTCTCCTGTCCTAGTTGATGGTGAACGTTTTTAAGTAAAACGTTCACCATCAACTTCGTTCACCATCAAATTTCGTCTAAAACCCAAAACGTTCACCATCAACTTGGACAGGACCTGTTTACTTAGACCACAGAGGATGCATTTGATCACTGAGGATCTCAGGATATGTTTACTCTGATGCTATTTTCAACCTTACCAAATTTTGGTAAAGTTACTAAAAAATGGTTATATTTAGTTTGCTGCCAAATTTTGGTAACTATATAAGAAATCCTGCCAAAATTTTGGCAACTGTACCAAAATTTTGATAATGCCAAAATTTGATAAGATCTATTATATTATTAAAACAGCTTTGAAAGGAGGCACCACGTTCACTGTGGAGGCTAGAAATTACCACATTAATCGAAGAAAAAGTGAAAAATCTACACCATTGAATTATGATAGATCAATCATTTAACCATTGAGATTGATTGGACAGATATAAGAGTCCTACTCAAACTTTGTCAAAAAAAAAAACCGTACAGCAAAAAAAAAAAAAAGTCCAAGTTCTATTCAGACCCAAGTCCCATCCGGACAAGGCTGACAACTAACATGTTTTCTGTTTTTTTTTTATCAGAGAAGCTCATTAAACAAAAAATCTATCCGGCCTTTTGATTGGCAATCTGCCCGCTACATGCAGCAATGGCACATACAATTAATAATACATCCAAATATTACATAAGGATATCTATAAATTACCAAATTAATAAGTAATAAAAAGAAAAAGAAAAAATCTGCACCAATTTTTTTTCAACAAACAATTTGCACCAATTCATGGTGGACATATGTTATAACGGTTGAGAATGATTTCCCAGAAATAAGTACCGGGCAAATCCTACTCACAAGTTGTAAAAATACAAGAAAAATATAAAAATAAGGTTTTAAAAAACAAGAATCTATCTATTTGAACTCCCCATCGGGCAAGGACTGACAACAGACAAGCTCTTTTTAAGCAAATATTTAACTATCAGTCTATCTAGAGCATAACATGAGATTAATTAAACTCTAAATGAAAAATAAAATAAAATTCAAACTAGAAAAACAATAAAAGTTCAAGTAAGAATACAATTAAAAATAACTAGAATTAGAAAGACAAAATATTGAAAGTAAACTACAATATATAGAATAAAAGAAGAAATGAATTTTATTGCATTATTAAGAGGACAAGATGAGGGTGGCAAAGGAAATTGGCAATGACGGCTAGCGAGACTTCTACAAACTATGAAAAGAAAACCAAAAAATGATCAGGTTCTATTTTTAAAATCCCAATAATGAAGAGTTCTAACAGGAATAAAATTTATAAATAATTAAAATTCAAAATAGAAAATAAAGCATATTAAAAAGAATAGTCTAGATAGGGTAGAACACAAGATTAATTAAATAAACCCTAATGATAGTCACGTTTGATTTTAAAATCTCAATGACACTAAAGAGGGGAGACAGCGAGCGAGCTGTATAGGAGTACAGTGACAAAGTTGTTGATGGTTTGGCGGGACTTCTAGAAACAAAACAATAAACCCAAACGATAATTATGTTTGATTTTTAAAATCCCAATAACAATAAATAGAGGAGTCAGCAGACGGACAGTAGAGGAGTATAATGACAGCGTTTGACGGGACTTCTGAAAATTATAAAAATTAAACCCAATGAGAGAACAAACTATAAAAACTACGAGGTCCAATTTTTAAAGGTTCGAGACTTCTAAAAAGTAAATAAAAATAATGATAATCATGTTTGATTTTATATCTCAATAACAATAAAGAGGGGAGGCAGCAGGTGAGCCATAGAGGAATAGAGAGGCAAATTAAGCCGCTGATGGTTTGGCGGGACTTCTAAGTAAAAAAATGAACCCAAACGATAATTATATTTAATTAATAAAATCCCAATTAAAAAGAGAGAGAACCCAAACGATAATTATATTTGATTTATAAAATCCCAATGAAAAAGAGAGAGCAGGGAGCGGATGAGCCATAGAGGAGTACAGTGGCAGTGTTTGACGGGACTTCTAAAAATTATAAAAGCAAAACCTAACGAGACAATAAATTCAAAAAACTATAAGGTCCAATTTTTAAAGGTTTCAAGAAGAATGAATAAAAACAGTGGTAAATCAAGCAAGCAAATGAAAAAAAAAGGGTAACAGAAGTAACGAGTAGCAACTGGTGTGACTTTTAAAATCCATAAAAACAGAAACACGGGGATGATAAGGTTTGGCCTTTCAAAGTCTTAAAATAATAAGATAGTTATTTAATAAATATGAAGTAAAATCATATTAAAAAATAAATATTTTGTATGGGTGCTAGCCGCGCAATTGCGTGGACCACCCCGCTAGTTTTTTTTATCAAAATGAACATGCCCTCAATTTCTAATGGCAATTGACTCACGAGTCACGGACTCACGGATCCGTTGAGTTGTTGGAAACGGGAGCCAAATTACACGCGGCAACTTCACCGTTGTGCTTAGGTCACATCACTTGTTTTTGTCATGTGTGTCTTTGACTCATTATGTTGCAACCAAAACAGATTAACTTTCTAGCTTATCAAATCAATTAAAAGACATTTATTTAGTTTAAGTTGTTTTTTTATTGAATAATTAGCATGGTGGCCCACACAGATTACGCGGCTAGCATCATTATATTTTCTCTTATATAATAGTATATATGTTTTCTCATTATATTCTTCAAATATATTAAAATGACAACATAATTTTAAATTTTGCATTAACTTTACGAAACTACTAATGTGTAATATTTATATTATATTTTATATACGTGTTAGTTATTAATTATTTTTATTATCAAATTTTAGTTATTTGTAAATTATATATATTCCTATATGGACTCTAGACTCGTCTTTTAATATTTCTTTTTTTTAATTTTGAATTTTCTGTAAATTGTATTTCTACATAGACTCTATGCTCTTCTTCCAATATTTTTTTTTATTTCTGAATTTTTATTATTTCTAATTGTATTTCTATGTGGACTCTAAACTTATCTTTCAATATTCTTTAATTTTTAAATTCGAATTTTAGTTACTTCTAAATTGTATTCCTATATTTGTATTTCTATATTGACCTTAAACTCTTCTTCCCATATTTTTCTTAATTTCAAATTTAGTTATTTGTAAATTGTATTTTTATACGGACTCTAAACTCTACTTTTAATTTTATTATGTTTATTCCAAATTTTAGTTAGTTTTAAATTCATATATGGACTCTATACTCTATTTCTAATATTCCTTACTTTTTAATTCCGAATTTCTTTTTTTCTTAATTGTATTTCTATATCGACTCTATACTCTACTTCTAATATTCTTTATTTTTAATTCCAAATTTCTATTATTTCCTAATCGTATTTCTATATGGACTATATACTCTACTTCTAATATTCCTTATTTTTAATTCCGAATTTCAGTTATTTCCTAATTGTATTTCTATATGGACTCTATACTCTACTTCTAATATTCCTTATTTTTAATTCCGAATTTAAGTTATTTCCTAATTGTATTTCTATATGGACTCTATACTATACTTCTAATATTCCTTATTTTTAATTCCGAATTTCAGTCATTTCCTAATTGTATTTCTATATGGACTCTAGTCTCCTCTTCTAATATTCCTTATTTTTAATTCCGAATTTCAGTCATTTCCTAATTGTATTTCTATATGGACTCTAGTCTCCTCTTCTAATATTCCTTATTTTTTTAATTCCGAATTTTAGCTATTTTCTAATTGTATTTCTATATGGACTCTAGTCTCCTCTTCTAATATTACTTACTCCCTCCGTCCCAAAATAAGTGCAGTTTTGCACTATTCATGTTCAACGTTTGACCGTCCGTCTTATTTGAAAATTTTTTATGATTAGTATTTTTATTGCTATTAGATGATAAAACATGAATATTACTTTATGTGTGACTAAATGTTTTTAATTTTTTCACAAATTTTTCAAATAAGACGGACGGTCAAACGTTGAACGTGAATAGTGCAAAACTGCACTTATTTTGGGACGGAGGTAGTATTTTTTAATTCCGAATTTCAGCTATTTCTATATGGACTCTGCTTTTTCTTTTTTTCCGATTAATGTGAGAATTTCTAGGCCATGAGAGCGAACGTGGAGGCTCCTTTTTCTATTCCTTTAATAATATAATAGATAGATAGATAGATGATTTTAAAAATTGGGGAAAGGGAATAGTGAAGCAGGAAAGACTTATATGAAGGTGATGCAATAGTATACTCCCTCCGTTTCAAATTAGTTGTATTTCTATGATTCAAAACTTTATTCTAAAATAGTTGTTACAATGAAGTACTACTTATCCCATCAATCACTTCTAATTCAAATTTGTTTCTTTTCTACCCTCAACCATCCTTCCACATCCAACCATACATCATTTAATAAATGGTATTATATATTTTCACAAACCTTAATCCATACTAAATATCGGTGGTAGAGATGATGTGAAAATAGACACCACCACTATTAATATTTTAAGTAGTATAGATATGCTTGTGATGTTCTTTGTGTGTGAACTGGAGTACTACTATGGGTTTGTTTGGGGAGATTAAGATTCTGAGAATCAACTTGTTGGTAGTCAGCTTCTGAGAATCTAAAAAAACTGGGTTTTCTAACTTTTAGTTTCTAGTTCTTTTTCTGAATTCAACTACTGCAATTTCTTAGAATCTGAATCCCTGTTTGAAAGAATTTCTGTCTCTGGAAAAAGATGCAGCAGCTAAAAACTGTTCCAAATAAGTCTATGTAGGATGGGTTTCCTGTAGAACCGGTTGTGTGCTATCCACGGCTAAGTTCTTGTGATTTCCACAAAGAAGTTTTAATTCCAACTTGTAGTTTACGAACTACAAGTTGCTTGCATATGTACAGAATTACTCCTCCATCTGATGAGAGAGTACCTTGTTCCATCTAACGTACAGATATTTAAATTGGATTAATATTTCCTAAAGTCACTTAGAAAAGCATTATGTTTGCATCGGGAAGCCATACATGGTTGGCTCACCTATATTTATTATACTCCGTTTAACTAGCATAGATTGCGTGGCTAGCATCGTTATATTTTTTTCTTATAATAGCATAAATATTTTCATATTCTATTTATTAAAATAAATTAAAATGATAATATAATTTTAAATTCTTGATCAAACTAACAAATATGTGATATTCTTATTGTATTGTATATACATGATAGTTATTAATTATTTTATAATTTCAGATTTTAGTTATTTATAAATTGTATTCCAATCTAGACCTAGACTCATCTTTCAATATTTCTTATTATTTTAATTTTGAATTTTCATTATTCATAAATTCTATTCCTATAAGGACCTTGGACTCCTCTTCCAATATTCATTTTACTTATTTGTAAATTGTATTTCTATATATACTCTAAACTCTTCTTTTAATATTCTTTTTTTAATTTTGTATTTCCTTTATTGGTAAATTGTATTCCTGTATGGACTCTAGACCTTTTTATCAATATTTATTTTTTTTAATTTTATTTATTTATAAAATGTATTTGTATATGGACTCTATACCTTTTTTTAATATTCCTTATTTGTTAATTCTAAATTTCAGTTATTTATAAATTTTATTCATATATAGACGCTAGACTCCTCTCCCAATGTTGCTTATTTTTTAAATTTTTAATTTTTTTTCTAAATTGTATTTCTATATAGACTCTAAACTCTACTTTTAATTATTTTTTAATTTCAACTTTCACTTAGTTCTATATTCCTATATGGACTATGGACTCTTCTTCCAATATTTTTATTTGTCTAATTCCCAATCTTTTATTTATAATTGTATTTCTATATAGACTCTATTTTTTTCCAATATCTGTATTTTTTAATTCCGAATTTCAATTATTTATAAATTGTATTCCTATATAGACTTTAGAGTTTTTTCTAATATTACTTATTTTTAATTTCGAATTTCAGTTACTTATGAATTGTATTCCTATATATACTATAGACTCTTCTCCAAATTCTGCTTATTTTTCTAATTTCTAATCTTAGTTATTTCTAATTTGTATTTCTAAAAGATATTTAAGTTGATTGTGTATACCAGTAAAACAAAGTACACTCGCTTGAGTCAACTGTCACAAATCTGAATACTCTATCAAAAGGGGGATAAATAGAATTTGTAAATCACCCATCAGAAAACAAACATTCTGAGTAGCAATTCTAAGGCTTACGGACCTACAAAATATGTGTAATACAGCTTAGAAACCATAAGTTTGTCTTGCTTGCGATTTTATCTAACTGTAAAAAGGATTCCAATTTGCGGGCGATGCACAACCAAACATAGTTCTCAACACTCAACAGAACTTGAGAACAACATGGCATGAAAAGATTTCACTAGTCATCGTCCTTAATTCTTTTCAGCAGCCTAGCAGCCCACCGGCGTAGTCTTCTCTTCAATGTGAAGCCCACCACAACACCGACTGCAAAGCTGACGGCGCTGATCTTCGTACAAGTTGATAGAGAGACAACACGACTGCAATACAGAATATAACACAAGTATAACTATTGTCAGGTTCTAAGGTGTTGGACAGTTGAGCACAGGGTTCATGAATAAAATGGTATCAGTGCCTGGAAATGATAGCAAATGTTGAAAAGTTGTGCCAAATAAATTTTCCTGAGGCAGTGCAACTTACTTAATAAGCTCTTAAAGCTGCATGCAGAATATATATATAGGGTATGCAACCATGTCTAGCTCTTGTTGTTAAGCTTTCAGATTTAGTAACAGCAGCACCAATGCACACAAACTCTAGGCTATTTTGCAACTCAAACACAGTTATACAATCAATATATTCACTGTTCATCCAACTGAAATTCTGAACACAGCTCAATCACAATCAAGTACTCTCACGGTCTTAAACCTCGTAGCTTTTGATCTAGAAAGACACTAAAATTTTATCTACTCTGAACTCAATGAGCTGCTAGGATCACAATGGAATCTGCTCATATTCTTCTGAACTCACCATTGCCTCTTCTGGTTGCATCTTGTATGACACGAGAGCTATACAAATACAGACCCCTTGCAACATATCAATACACTCAACTTTGAGACGAGCCCTTGCAATACTCCTGAATTCAGGAACTCAATATGCCAGTGATGCCAAAAGTTACTTGAACACTGCACCACCTAATTGCGAAGAGCACTTCTCAACTTCGAGCTATTGACCTATTTTACAATCCCTCAGTCGGTATGGCTTTTCATAGGACATACCAAATCACCCTATCAAACTCTGATCAGTTTTTGTAAACACGCCTAATTGCAGTTTGCTTATTTCAGATAGTAGCTACATGGCACAAATCGGGAGCAATTGGAGTCATTCGATACTGCAAATCCAGCACCAAACCAATTCAAGGCAAGCAAGAAATTGAGCTGAACCTGGAGCTCCAATGTGCGAAAACATTCAAGCTAGAGTAGGTGGAGGGCAAGTGAGGAGGAGAGGAGAGTATACCCTGCGGCCCTGGGCACGAGGACCTGGTGCGCCTGCTCGGAGAAGGCGGCCGCCGAGCGCGACGAGGAGTTCGCCGCGTCCTGCGCCGCCGCCTGCAGCTTCTCCACCGCCGACGCAACCGACGACGCCGGTGGCATCTCCGGGCTTCCTGCCCCCTCCCGCCGCCGCCGCCGCCGGGGAAGGAGCTAGGGTTTAACGGCGGGCGTAACTTGGAAGCGAGAGAAAAAAAAAGAAAGAAAGAAAAGCAAGCAGACACCTTCAGGACGATGCGTCGACCATATTAAAGCCAATGACAGGTGGGACCAGCCAGTTCGAGTCCTTGGGTTGAGACTTGAGAGAGCCTTCCCAAAGGGGAGAGATTATTCAGGTGGTAGGCATTATCATCAACCGATGTGATATTAACGTATGATTAATTGAGTTTAATTATTACAAACGTGAAAAATAGATTAATTTGATAATTTAGAGCAACTTTCATATAGAAAGTTTTCGTATGAAATTTACCGTTTTGCAATTTGAAAAGTGTGCCAAGAGTATCCAAAATTTTATATCCCTTTTTAGCATATTCAAACGGGACCTTTGTGGATATCTCGTGCTTTCTCACGCAGTTCAATTGCTTCCAATTCCAAGTGTGAAATATACGCAAGCAAATCCACTGTAAATCATACGAGATCAAATGAAACCGTGGGTGCAAAGGAAGGCAAGGCAATCATATCTCAATCAAATACACTTCCAACATATATCCAGGATGCAGCATTAACCACTGTCAAAACTGTAATTTCTCATTGCTGCTGCAGAACCTTGTTACAGCAAAGTAATGCAGTAAACAACATATCAAGAACAGGGGAACAGTTGAAACCAAGATTAGGCAAGGACAAACATTTTACTGTAAATAAACTACTGGTTACCAGCTTTCTAGATATAACTCGCGAAACAGGAGAAAATGCTAATCAGATACAGAGTACAAATGGGGTACAAGAGCAAAGTTTTGGCTACGCTAACTCCGGACTTCATTTTGATTTCCGTGGTCTAAGAAGATTCCAGTCAAGCTTTTCACGCTTGTTTGACTTGTGAGACCCACGGCCATTGCTTTGGGAAGATGAATCACCATCGATACTCTTACCTGTGGTCTTGGGCTGCCTATGTGATGGTGGTGTTTCCATTTCAAGCTCAGGCTGTTTCCTCTTTAGTTCATTCAGAGATATGCTTTCTGAACTATCAATGTTGAAGTCACTAAATCTTGTTCTTGATACTTCATCCGTTCTGCATTTCCATTGTAAAAGGGATCACGTGAAAATTCATTACATCCACAAGCTATTCAAAGTGCTCAAAATTATATGTGCCACATAAGAACTTGTACAATGATTTTGAGCGGCTCAAAATTACATCCACAAGCTATTCAATTGCCTCACAATGATTTTGAGCGGCTGTAGTTAGCATTTTCATAAAAAGTACAGATGAAAGTGTTCTCCTGGTGAATTGTGTCCATAAGGCTACACCTTTTTGTGTTGCATAGTAGTGATTTGTTAATTTCTTATCTGACCGAACTGAATCAGAATTCTACTAAAGAATTTCATTAATTTTTTTTTGGGTGCCAAAAATGTATGCATTCTAGATTTTTCATGCCATTTGTGCAAAAAGCTTCCTCATTTGTGAATATGCAGTAACTCATAAGCTTCAGAATAGCATTAGTTGTATAAGCTTTACTTTTAGCAAATAATGTTAACTATAGCAATACATCAATAATGTCTGAACTACTCAGAGCAAGCTACCAGTAATGACGGATATAGTGATATACAGTTATACACTAACAATGAATGGTAACTCTGCATCCAACATTAGCGCCACAACGAGTGTATTTTTTAACAAATCAATCACTTCAAGCTTAGATTTCTACCTTACATGATGTCAAAGCTGCAGTGAAGTTATTAACAGGTGATTCATCTTTCACAAGGCTGAAGTGCACTAAATGAATGTTAATAATGTCAAGTCTGGTAACTATGTAAGAGCTTCAGGCTCTTCTGCTTTGGTTATGTTTCCAGTTCAATGATCAAAAGTCCAAACTAAATAACTCTTAGCACATACTCACGACATTAATCCACATATTGTGACAGGTAATCTATATTTTGTAACAGATAAATTAGCTATAGGTTAACAACAGTTACAGCACAGAAAAGAGCTGGTAAATAGCTAACCTGCTGGAATTCGAACCATCCTGATGATTATTACTAGGTGATGCTAACTGTGATTGGCGGCCACCCGTTGCCTCTTGAGTTAATTTCTACAGTTCTAGGTTTGGGTGAGGGAACACGACAATATTGCAAATAACAAGATATAAAAAAATAATCTTGAAATCTCACATCAATGGATGGGTTGAAATTCAGGAATGACATTCGACCCTTTGCAGCTCCAGGGTGTGGATTACCCTCCATGATAACTACGCTGAAGAAAGAGTTAGTATTGGTTTAGTCTGCATTGACAGATCAAAGAAAGGTATTGGTAATGAAGTACTGCGTGTCCAAAACTAAACCCAAAAAATGAATTTGCATGACAACATCAAATGCATGTTTAGCTGATTAGTGTGAAGCATATCTGGGAAGAAAACGTTAAAAAAAAGTATCCAATTATGGACATACACATGAATGTTATAGTTTCTGAAGCACAAAGTATCATTTCTACTACCTCCGTCCCACAAAGACTTCATTTCTAGCTATGAACTTAGACGAGTACTTGTCCAGGTGCATAGCCAGAAATCCCAAATTCTCTGTAATTAGGTAAGAAGTAAATTAGATGGGAGGTTTTGCCAGATATCTCATCTAACAAACCCAAAAAGGCACAATCTTCATCTAACAGATTCAGCTTAACTCAAACATAATCTCCAATTCTTCATCGCACCTTGTTATATAGCATACAAAACATCCCATGCTACCCTAGAGTCAAAATCTCTAATACCATGCTAAAAACACCAACTCAGCATAAACGATTAAAAAAACGAGCCTTTCAATCCCCATACCACTTCCGAGCGACTTTAACCGACGAGCCAACACCTCCGCTAGGCACCGTCACCACCTCCTCCTCCGCCGCCGCCGCCGCCGCCTCAACCTTGGGCTTCTCCTCAACCTTCTGCGCAACAGCCGCCCGCTGCATAAACTGCATCCCCCCCGCACACAAATACAAAAATAAAAACATCAGACGAGATAGCAACGCGTGCGGATGTAATAAGAGGCAACATTTCCAAGGGATTTCCTCCTCGCCTTGAGGTTCCTGAGGGTGCTCGAGAGCTCCCGCTTCGCCGCCATCGCCACCTTCCTCCTCCGCCGCCGCCTCTGCCGCTGCCGCTGCTTCGCTTACCGATTTAGGGTTAGGGTTTACGCGGCTCGCGGAAGCCGTCGCCGCGGGGAGGAGGCGCACGACGAGAAGAGAGAGAGGAGAGGAGATCGGGTTCGAGTCGGACTCGGGCCCATCACCACGGCCCGGTGCGCGAGTGGCGTGCGGGCCCACATGTCAGCCAGGGAAGGAGAACCGCTTGCCTGGCTGGTCCTACCTGCGGTCTGACCGACATGTGGGCCCGGTATTTGATGTGGTGGACTCCTACGCGGTTTATTACTGATTCGTGTATACGAGGGCGATTCGTATAGGCGGTTTATATTGGCCCTGGATATCTGGAAGCCTCACCTGAATACCTGATTTTGATCTTGTTCTATTGATTTGTCGTGTGTTCTTCGAATTCCATCGGAAGAAGAAGAGGGGATTTGACTAACTCGATCGGCAGCCAATTAATTTAGTCGCTGACTTCATCAGTTCATCTTAATAATGGTATGTCAGTCAATTGCTCTGAAATCTTTTTAATCCAAGTTGTTGTTTTATCCCCTTCTCTTCCATCTTTTCGATTCTTTGGAGCGCAACCAATCTGTCATTGTTCTTGCATATATTACCATGCTAATTATGTTCTTGATTCATGCATATACTGGAGTTGTTTAGGATACCGGTTCTGAACTTCTAATCTAATTGCTGGTTCGTTGAATGCGTTGTGCAGGATTTCGAGGAGTATCTCAACTTGCAATCGGCGACGTTCGCGCAGCTGTACCGCTGCTTGCCGATCTCGCTTCTCAAGAAGGAGAACGCCGACGATGGCAACAGGGGTAAGTTGCTAATTAACCTGTTATTAATAGTCAGTAGTCAATCTATTTTTTTTTCTAACTGAATATTACGAAGTTTTGCTTATGTTTAATTTGTTTGCAGTCTTCATGCCTGTATCTGCTCTTGATCGGCTCGGTAAGTTCCTAACATCTTCAGTAAAAAAACGATCTTTCCGTACATACTTGATCATCTGGTAATAAATTAGTTGGTTAAATTACTGATGTTATTGCTTGTGGTTAATTTACTTTCAAGGGTATCTGCACATCGAGTACCCGATGCAGTTTCAGATTCAGAACGCCACCACGCTGCAGACCTCGTACTGCGGCGTGCTCGAGTTCACCGCCGACGAGGGCTTCATCCACATCCCGACCATGGTTAGTATACTCTTCATAGAAGAACATCAAATTAACTTTGCCCAAATACAAATTTAATTTAAACAACTCTTCAGAGCATTAACATAAACTGATGCTGATTTATATTTTGTTCCTGAATATTTTCAGATGATGGAGCACTTGGGCCTGCGAGAGAACGATCTCGTGCTGCTGCGAAGCACGTCGATCCCCAAGGCCACCTTCATCAAGCTGCAGCCTCACACCTCTGACTTCCACAAGCTTTCTGAACCAAGATACCTGTAAGTAATTCTATCGAAAGAAGTTTTTTTTTTCTTTAGAAATTAATCTAAATTGTTCACCTTTTCTAATTCAGATTTTTTTTACTGGAACTAAAACTCATAGAACAACAGTTAGGATCATCTTCTACTGATGGTAATATTGACAAAATAACTTTCAATACTGACTGAATACGATCATTATGACTAAATTATTGAAATTTCCGTTCGAATTTTTTGAAATTTCAGGCCCTCTCGGCACCGAACTATTTCGTCCGAAATTTTCAATTTTTTAATCAAAATTTGATCAAATTCCATAAAAGTTCTGATCGAAATTTCGATGCCCCGTCGTAGATATGAACAACGAAATTACTAAGCCTGGTTATTCTTTCCTACTATAAAGTTAACTTACTAAATTCTAAAGCTTAACGTACAGATATATCACATTATCATCCACTAACAATTATTACATTTAATTATCATAATAAACATTGCTATATTATCTATTATTTTATTCGACATTGGTTGACATATGTTGTGTTGATGTGCGTGTAGGCTGGAGTACAACTTCCGCAACTACTTCTGCCTTACGACCGGCGAGACGATCGCCGTGGCGGCGGGGGACAGGTTCTACTACCTCGACGTCGTGGAGACGAGGCCGGCCGACGCTGTCTGCGTCATCGAGACCGACTGCGAGGTCGAGTTCGACCAGGCCCTCGACCAAGCGGAGCCCGCCGCCGCCGCCGCCATGCAGGTCGACGGCGTCGGCGCCGGCGAGCCGGAGCCGGCCCGGTTCACCGGCTTCAGGATGCGGATGGACGGCAAGCCGGTGGAGGAGGAGAAGAAGACGATGCCGCCGCCGGCGACGGCGGCGGCGCCGCCCAAAAGGGGGCTTCGGTTTGGCTCGTCGGCTCCTGCCGCCGGTGGTGGCGTCAAGGAGGCCAAGTCCGGCGAGAAAGACGATGGGAATCGGTTCACCGGCAAGAAGTATTCTCTGCAGTTTTAAAAGAACAAAAAATGGGATTTCTTGGTGCATCGATATTTGAAAACGAGAGAATTTGCATCGATGTTGACGAATTCGCTGATATTCGCGTTCGCGAAAAAAAATTCGCTGATATTCATACGATCTCTTTTTTTTTTTTCCTTGTAAGTTTTCGTAACGAGGATCAAATATATGTGCATGTGTTTGTGATGAAATAGGTACCTGCTCAGTGACGTGGCTTTCAGATTTTGTTTGCTAATGGTAGAGCAGAGTATTGTGTCCAACTTTCCATGGCTATGTTGTTACTTACTATTTCTCTTATCTTATAGCATCAATATGAATATGAGAAATGCTAGAATAAATTGTATAGTAAAATTGAGGGAGTATTTGCTACTACACCTAGGAGGAACTCCAGGATTTTATATTCCACTGGCAAAAGTGCCCGTGCGTTGCAACGGGAAGTGTATAGACCAGAAAATAAAGGAAAAGTTAAGAAAAATTTACATTATGTAGAAAGGTTATATTCCCTCCCTTGTGTAAAAAATTAATTTACAAGTAAAGCAAGTATAATAAATAAAATGACAGGTTAAATTTAATTTTATTAAATTCTCCATATTTAATTAAGCTCTTTAGAATTTTATTGGAATTTTCAGAGCTTAATTGCTAATTTTAATAATACAAACCTCATTTAACAATTATTTAATTGGAAAAAGGAATCAAAATCCTCCCTTTCAGGTTTGGGCCGAATATAGAAAGTTTATATTCTCTCCCTTACGTCTATTCTATGTATCTGGCTTGTTTCCTTTCTCTGTTAAGTCCATTGCATCCTCTTGATATCGACCACACGGTCCATTCGGTGGCCCAATAGGCCGGCGGCCCGACGCGGGAGCAGCTGGAGCTGTCCGATCGAATGGACGGCCCAGATTAATCCTAACCTAAATAACTACACCCAAAACCTAACCCTAGGATTCATTCTCACCCCCTCCCCCTCCTTTACCACTCTCCCTCCCCCGAGCGGCGGCGGCTGCGGCAGCGCCTCTCGCCCCTCCCCTAAGCGGCGGCGACGGCGCCTCTCCCCGAGCAGCCCCCCTCCCCGAGCGACGGCGGCGCCGCCCGAGCAGCGGCGGCAGTGGCGGCGCCTCTCCCCCCGAGCGACGGCGGCGGCGGTGCCCTCCCCCTAGCGACAGCGCCGCTGCCCGAGCAGTGGCGGCGGTGGCGGTGCCTCTCCCCCCGAGTGGTGGCGGTGTCAGCGTCCTCCCCCGCGAGCGGCGACGGTGGCTCTCCCACCACTGGCAGCGCGGCTGCGTCCTCCCTCACCACCGGCAGCGCGGCTGCGTCCTTCCCCACCACCGGCAGCGCGGCGGCGTCCTCCCCTACCACCGGTGGCAGTGGCGGCGCCCTTCCCCATCACCAGCAGGCGGCAACGGTGGCGGCGCCCAACCCAATCCCAAGCAACGGCGACGGACTCGATGTATTTGGAGTTTTTGGTCGATATATTTGGTGTTTTTGGGTGTTGAAGTTTGGGTTTCTATTTTTTTTTTCAATTTTTTCGATCATTCACAAAATCGAAATCAGATTAGGATTTGATGGAGGGACGAAAAATACGAATCTTTTAATTAGTTAAGATAGAGAAGAGATATTTACGGACTATTAAAACGAATAGAAATCGAATTTTTTGCCGCGCTTTTTTCCGCCCTTTTTATTTTTTTTTTGTTCGTTTTTTACTTTTTACTAACCTTTTTTTTTTGCCACGGAATCGAACAGACCTCTGTAGATGTGAATTTTTTAAGTAGGGACAGGAGTAGAGATACATATGTATACAAAGTTTATATACAAAACGTATAAAAATATAAACGTATACAAAGTTTGTATACGTGTATATAAAATTTGTATATATACATAGTATTAAGAAATAAAAAAACCAAAAAAACAAAAAAAGGAAAGAAAAAAACTGAAAAGAAACGAAAAAAGGAAGAAAAACAGAACAACCGTGCGTGGGCCGGAATAGGATTTTTTTCCCCTTTTTAAGGGATCGGATCTATTTTTTTCGCCACTTTTTGTGTTTTTCGAATTTGACTTTTTTTTTCCCGTTTCTAGGGGAATCGGATTACAGTTTTTTTCCCTATTTTTTCCTCCGATTTTTTTTGTTTTTCTTTTTTAAGGGAATCAGACTTCTTTTTTTTGTTTTTTTTCGCTATTTTTTATTTGTGACGGACGAAGGAAACGTCTCTTATTTTTTAAGTAGTAGTAGAAGAAGTAGAGGTAGATAGATAGATACCGGTCAAAAACGAACGAATTTAAAAACCGATCCATACACGGATGACGTACCAAAGTACCGACAAAAATATCCTCAATTTTTCGAGAAGTCTTTTTCGAGGGAGTCGGACTTTTTTTAAGGAGTCGGACGTTTTTTTTCTTTTTTAGGTAGAAGTTTTTTTCCTTTTTTTGTCGCCTTTATTTTCTCCACAGGGAGTCGGATTTTTAAGAGTCGAACGCCTTTTTTTTTGCGACAGATTTTTTTTCTCTTCTTTTTTTGTTTTTTTCTCTCCTTTTTATTTTCCACCGGGGGAGTCAGACTTTTAGGAGTCGGACTTCTTTTTTTTTCGTTTTTTTATTTAAACGGTGTTTTTTCTCGGACTTTTTTTTTTCCTTTTAACGGATCCGATCTTTTTTTTTCAGGGGAATCGGACTCTTTTTGTTTTGTTTTTTTTTCGCTTTTTTTATTTATTAAACGGACGAAGGAAACGTTTCTTTTTTTTAAGTAGTAGTAGATTATAAAAAGAACAGCTAGGAAGAACTCTGTTGTCAAAATTTGCTTAGCATATGTAGTACTCCCTCCGATCATTGACGCACAATGTTTTTACACTAAAATTAGTATTAAAAATCTCATATATTAATGACGAGACAGAGTGACACCTTACTACTCTGCATAGTAAAAAAAAAACCATCCACAATGCAAATAGCAAAAATTTGAAATCCGTGCAATTTCATGCCATTGAAATCTTGAATGAAATGATATGATAGCACCCTTAGGGTCCCTTTAAATCGCATGATTGAAAAAACATAATAATAGAAAAAACATAGAATTTTGATAGGAATGTATATATAAAACAGATATTGCAAAAACGCAGGGAAAACATAAGAAGGGTAGTTTGATTGAACTGAAAAAAAAAACGCAGGAATTGAATAAGAGAGATAGACCCAAAGAAAAGTTACCAAGATGTTGAAGCTCTTTCTAAATTTCCTCCAAATTCTCTATAGGATTGTCCATTTCATAGGAATTTCAAAGGATTAGATAGGATTCAATCATTTGTTTCAAAGGGCTTCATAGAAAATTTTTTCATAGGATTTAAATCCTCCAAAATTCCTATGTTTTCCCTCTAAATCAAAGGGGCTCTTAATATCAAAATAAGTTCATTTTTTATTCATCCACCCATACTAATTAGAAAAGACTTTCTCAAATCCCAAAGCAATTATTTTTCTCTTTATTTATTTATTCTCAATACATTTATTTTATAATTTTACAAATTTCGATGCAACGATCACTTTAAAAATAAATTTATTTTTGATAAACAAGAAGAACCAAAAATAAACATTTATTCTGGATAGAGAGAGTATGTGCCTCATGTTGAATTACGAGTAGAATGCAGGGGGTTTTGCGTTAATATCCCTCTCCTCTTCTCCCCTCCCCCTCTCAAAGCACCGCGAGCTCGCGACGAGGACGACGCAGCGAGACGAGACGACAAAATTTACCAAAGTGCCCCTCAAACCCCTCACCCCCTCCGCCTCCGCCTCCGGCGAGCCCGTCGCCGCCGGCCGGCATGCCGTCGGGGTACCGCCCGGACCGGGAGACCGACTTCGCCGGCTTCCCGAGCACCACCCCCATCGTCATCGACAACGGCGCCTCCACCTTCCGCATCGGGTACGACCTCCCACCCGCCGCCGCCCGGAAACTCCCCCCCCCCCCAAACCCTAACCCTAGCAGGGCTTCCGTTCCGTACGTGGATTCTGTGAAGTGACGTGGTGGTTTGGTGCCGTGCAGGTGGGCCGGCGAGGCGGAGCCCCGCGTCGCCTTCCGCAACATCGTGCAGCGGCCGCGCCACCGCAGCTCTGGTACGCCGCATTGCGCGCTTTGGAAAGCTTGGCTGTGATATCTGTTTGGTGATTGGGGTTTTTCTTTGGATATACTGCGAGAAGTTTGATTTCTGCTTCTTCCGTTAATCCTTAGCGTGCGTTTTCAGAATGTTCAGTGAATAGGTATGGCGTTTCGTTGGTAATTGGGTGCTGTTTGTGTAATTTGTTTTGTTTTGATGCACAGAAATTGGGTGCTGCATTTTAATTATGTCTATCAGCAGCCACTTATTAGGCCCATTTTGAAACTCTACTCAATTCAAGTGGGAGTTGAACTGTTACTTGTCAGATTCCAATGGGCTTTATTTATTTTTATCGTTTGCGATGTTTTGATACAACTTGATTCATTTTCTTCGTAAGTGATACTAGTAATTCTGAAAACAGATCAAGTTCAGATGTTTTAGTGCTCTCTTTGTGTTTGTTCAATTACACTGTATGGTTCATGCTTGTCTGAATATACCATTACTGAACTGAACCTCTTATGGGTATGGCTTGAGTCAGGCTAATAATAACAGAGTTTGACAAAATATGATAATTCAACTGATTGGAATTCGTTTTCTGTGATGCAGGTGAAACTGTCACAGTTGTTGGGGACACTGATCCAGCTTTGATGAAGTATTTCGATTGCACACGATCAGCAATTCGCTCACCATTTGATGATGATGTTGTCTACCAGTTCGAGTACATGGAATATGTTAGTTTGCTTAGTTATTCCTATGAAACCATCTTAACTTTTTTTTTGTTTGAGTTGGTAGCAAGATCTATAGATGGTTTGCTATATGTTTAGCTTGAACTGATCAGTCTGGTCTGTCATCTTTGATTCTGAATGCAATCTTAATGTGTGTGTTAATTTTTAGGCTCACCAGAATAATGCATATGAAACATTTTAAGAATAAGATACGTGTCTTAACTGTGGTTGAGATGTATATTAACTGATATTAAGAAAAGCTTTATCTGAAGTTAGAAATTCATATTCTAACTTGCTTCTATGAGTATGCTCTATTCTATAGCTATTAATGATAATATCTTTCATAGTTCACATATCCTTTATGACATTAGATACCAATACATATTGTTATGTTTCACAAATTTAGAGTGCAGCACATGATTGCTTACTTCAGAGTGTTGATATTTGCACTCCAACCTTTATTGC